TCTTATCCTCTCAGCCACCAGGGAATGCTCTCTGCTGTGTCTTGTAAGGTATATTCTTCTAAAACTGCTTCATGTGTCTCTCTGACCCCCTCCACTCCCCACACAAATAGCCATTTTTATAAATAATTTACTTTGGGGGGAGATTGCATTGTTATTATAACTTACCTGAAAAGTATGTTCTCATTTGACTTTTTCTTTGCAAGCTTACTCCTATGTAATTAAACCAGAATTTAGTAATCGCCTTTCGCAGAGATATACACACACACCTATTTTGTTCTGCCTCTACTTCACTCTTCCCTTGAGAAAGGGGTATTTTAAATATAATGATTCTATTAAATCAGTTTGAATTTGGTACCTTAGCCTTTAATTACCTTTGCGGGACTGTTAGGAAGCTTCCCAAGAGAGGTCATTGTGTCACTGTCAGTTTGAAACAATGAAGCATATGCCCTGTGGATTTTGTTAGAAATGGGATTAATGCTTCAGGGAGGTATTCTTTTTCCTCCTGCATCCTTTTTCCCTATGGTAGACTAAGTCAAATGAATGCATAACACCCAGGTCAGGGCACAGGGAGGTGGAAAGAAATACTCTCAGCACATTTTTTTTAATTGATAAAGTTATGATCACATTATTTTAATAAATATTTAATTATTTTAGTTAATCAGCTTTTTTTTTTTTGTTAACAATTAGACTTTCTGTATGGATTTCTGGGTCCATGGATAGGTCTGTGACTATCTATGTAAATGACCATTTAACATAGGCTGTAAAAGAAGATTGTATGTAGAATTTCAGAGCATCTTGGAATTTTAGATCTGAAGGACCAGGAAAATACCAGGTAATTTGTTAGGGTTTTCTCATATTTATTCATTCTTCATACTCTTTATACATTCAATACTTATTTCTCTCTCTCCCCCCACCCTTTTTTTACCAGCTATTTTGCATGTTAACTTAGTTGCCAAACTTTGAAACCCTCTAAGGAGAACAATATTGCTCTGTCTCCAAAATATTTATATTTGAGGCCTATCTTGTACTAGAGAATTACATCTTAAAAATGTTTTTCACTTTAAACTATCTCTCACTATCCTGGGTGCAAGGCCACTGTGGACTAAGGTAAAATCCTTCTCTGTTACTACTGACCTTCTTTCTCTTTGGTGGGTAGATTTTACATTTTGTTTTCCTAAACAAGGGAAAACAGTTATAGTCCCACCTCTTATGTGCTTCTCTGCATCTGAGTTGCAAGTTCAGTATGTGCACATATGTAAGATTTCAAGTGCAAAAGGAGAACGGAGTAGGAAACAGATTTTCACAGCCCCAGTCTGGGTCCTTGCGTAAGTGCCAGCATAAAGCGATTCACTGAACAGTGAATAGTCTCGTGTTGCCTGGCTCCGAGGAAAAGGATTTGAAAATCCAAACTTAATAAGCAGATCAGTTGGGTGGGAGAGTTGATATTATTGTTTTGCATTCCAATAACATGCCGTGTTATCAAAAACATTTTTCTTCAGCAGTAAAATTACAGGAGGCATATAGATACCTTTCAGAATGTCAGGAAAAGGAGTTGGGGGGAATTTAGTTAAGAATAGTGAACATATACCACTTATCACAGGAACCATACACTGTGAGCCTCTGGGTATCTCAGGGTAAAGGGTGAATTTAATGTCGGTCGGGGAGTGGGAGGTCAGCCCTGAATCAAAGCAGGTACTTGAATTAAGCTTAATGTCTGGAAAGAAGGGGGCTCCTGGGTAGAGGTGTGAACTCCTAGGCCCAGAAGAAAGTCAAGTTACTTAATTCCTCAGTTTTTAGGAGCTTATAATAACTGTGTTTGCATTTCCCAGTGAAGCACAGGGCAACTTGTGGGTTAAGTCTAGAGGGAATCATTCATATCCATTTCTCATTCTGCCTCACTTATTCAACTTAAATATGAGGACTAGTTTGGGTTTAAGTGTAGATTTTACACACTTCTGGGGTTTCCCTGCTTCCCTCAAGTTTATTGCCACCAACTTATTGATAAACTGATTTTTTTTTTTAAACTTTAGACAAAGCATTCTGTTTTATAGTTAGAGATAATACTGTAAATATATAAGGGCTATAAGATTTATATAAATCTGGAAGACTAAAAATCTAAGACTATAAATAAACCTGTTTATTTAACACATTGAATGGAACTTGGCTAAATTTAACACTTCCTGAATACCTGTTCTGTGCTTGGTACTAATGAGAAAGAGAAAAGATGAAAAGTAAGATTTCCTGCCTTCCCATGACAAGGCCAAGGAGACATGGAAATCACGCAGTAATCACAGTGGAATGTTACTTCCAGGATAACAGAAGTGTCCCTGTATCTTTCTCACCATTAAGTTCCTTGCATTTGTCACAATGCCTGATTCATAACTAAGGCTTATCATTTTTTTAAGTTGATGGATACATGGATAACTAGTTTCATAAAGACTGTAGAAATGGTATGTACAAGGTACAATATGGATTCAGAAGATGGGATGAACAACTTGGCCTTGGAGGGGTTCAGTACAGATAATGAAAGTCTTTATGGGGAGATATTTGAATCAGCTCATGGGAGAGAAATAGGAGTTGTCTAGAGCTTCCAGAATTGTTTTCCAGCCAGAAGAATTTGTGTGGACATAGGCAAGGAGGTATGAAATGACATGATGTTCAAGAAGTTGTAAATAATTTTTTTCAAGAATAAAGGGAGTAGAAGATTGTAGGGAGAGCCTTCATAAATAAGTGACATTTCTGATTCGAGTCAAGGCAGGTCCTGCTGGGTATAAGGGTAAGCGTGCAAAATAAAGAGCAAAGAGACTTGTTTCCACCTCACATTTTTAACTGAGGTTCATCTTATTTACCTTCAAAAATATTGGCATTTGGAAGCTAATTCAGGAGGTGTATCTTAGTATAGGTGGTATATCTTAGCATAGAAACAATAGAGCCTGATGAACTTACAAATACTGTTCCAATGAGATTCTATAATTGGAAAATATATTAAAGGAAAGATTATGTATTTTCAAAAGTTAGTTTCATTACTGGATGATCATTAAATAGATATACAGTATATCACTTTACAGGGGCTTCTCTGGAGGCTCAGTGGTAAAGAATCCACTTCAATGCAGAAGATGTAGGTTCAGTCCCTGGTGTCGGAAACATCCTCTGGAGAAGGAAATGACAACCCTCTCCAGTATTCTTGCCTAGAGAATCCCATGGACAGAGGAGACTGGTGGGCTACAGTCCCTGGGGTTGCAAAGAGTAGGACACTACTTAGCAACTGAGCAGTAACAACAGTATATCACTTTACAAAGGGATCTGTCATTTAACAAATGGATTTCTGTCTGGTTCCTAGGAACAGTGATGTCATATAGGATTTAAAGTAGTTGATTTACACGTGGCTTTCTCACCCTGTGTCTAAGTCGAGGCACACTTGCACTGGTGAGAGTTTTCCTACCAGAGGAACATGAATTGGATTTCTTGTACTACCCCTTAAATGTTTCATTGCTATGTATTAGAAAGATTTGGTGGGATGGGTACTTTCTTAAATTTAAATGTATAATCTGTTTGAATGCTTTTAACTTTATGGATCATATTTTCCAATTTTAAATGAGGCCACATTAATAAAAGTGAGTTTCTTCAACTTAATTTTAAATATACCTACTATTTTAATTGTACCATTAGGGTCATCCTAGGTGAAATTGATAGAAATGCTGCTTCTCTTCTCTTTCCACTTAAAGTTCAGCTGCCGCTGCTGTTGTTTCCTTTCTTCTACTTTCATTTTACTCATCTTTGGATAAAATAACTCCTTATTTTGCATGTCAAGGTTTAATGTATGTTCTTAACTTGATAGAGACTTTAATTTTGAGGGAAAGATTCTTGGCTGATTGCATTAGTTTAGCAGTTCTAGAATAAGATGTCTGTGGGGCGGGGCGGCAGGGTCCTGTCATTGATTCTCTCTTTATAACTGTGCCCTTTTAGCTGCAGCCGATTACCTGCGGTGCTTCTGACCCGGCACAGACTGAATCACAAGGAAGAAACTTTACATAAACCATTTATACTAAATGCTTAGTATGCCGGCAACATAAATCAACAACAATATCCATTATAAATTCATCCCTTTATCAGTATTATCTTGATAGAACTGATCCCAATGTGTGGGAATTTGAACTCTGCTTCAATACATCTAGTCCTGTGTAATTAATTATTCAGGGCACAGAGAACCTGGCCCCTGCGATGTAGAGTAATTCTTCCTGGTCAGCGTTAACTCCACTGGCAATAATAAATAGAAAAAGTCTCTAGTGATGCCAGTATTTTAAAGTGATTAATCATCTTTCCCCGCTTCACCTCCCCCTCAGTTTTCTTTAACTAAGATTTTTCAGCAATAAATCTTTAACAATACAGGTAGGAATTGTTCTGTAATTAAATTTTGCCCTGCTTAATTTCTTACCTTTTATGTATGACAAAAACCAAAAAGTTAACATTTTAAGGAGGTCTGATTGAAATTCAAACCCAGAAAACTCCTTTTATAGAATACTGAGAGATTCTCTATGGAAGATTAAGCTCTTGATTTTGAATATTAGATAGAGCACGTATTCATAAAAATTGTTAATCAACACCAGTTGGAGTGTCAAATATTCTGAAGTTTTGAATTACTTCACTTTCATGTGTATGGGTTGTCTGTATTAGGAAAAGCCTGACATATACATATGTTCCCAAACGGAGAGAATAATTACTTATTTCTTAACTTGCAGATAATTGATGTGAGCTCTGTAGGAAAGGGAGACTTTGCATCCTTTTGTGGTACACAAAATGCAATTGCGGAAGTGGCAGGTAAATGCCTGACTGAGAATGACCACGTATTTCCAATCGTGCCCTGTAGAGCTGACCAGCCATCAAGTCTATTCCACGTGACAGGGACAGATGTGACATATCTGTTGTGACACACTTCTCTGCCACCAGTCTGTGGCTTGAGGTGACTCCTGTCCCTCCTCTGACGCTTCCTCCCGCTGCAGGACAACACAACGACGCACGGATGAACCTTGCCATTGCTCTCACCGCTGCCAGGTATGGGGCTGCCACGGCCAATTACATGGAGGTCGTGAGTTTGCTCAAGAAGACAGACCCCCAGACAGGAAAAAAGCGCGTGAGCGGTGCACGGTGTAAGGATGTGCTCACAGGTATGCAAAGGCTCCGGCAGGGCAGATTTCTTAGCATCTTGCTTTGTCTGTGCAATGACTGAATGATAATTTCTCTGTCACTTCTCTTTTATTGAAGCCAGATTTCAGAGTCCTATTACCTGTATTCCTTATTGTCAACAACAACTGGTTTTGCATGAAAATTTTTTTTGCGGAACCTGGCAATTTTTTTCCTCTTTGTGTTAAACATTAATGATGATCATGATAATAATGTCTGCAAAATTCCCACAACTATGAATGCATTATGTTCTTTTTGCAAAAACATGTTATTAAGAAAAGTCGATAAATGTGGCAAGTTTCAAAAAGTATCCTTTAGGCGACAGAAGCAGTGTGTTTACTTGCCGTTCAAGTCAATCACTTTAACTTTGGTGAGATTTGCTTGCCTGTCCATTTTTGCGGCCTCTTGGGCGAAGTTTCAGATACGTCGTTTCCTTCAAAACCACTGCTCACACTTTTGAGTTTTAAGGAGAAGGCGGCTCATTTACTCACTTTCTTCTTCTTTGGCACTTTAATGCTGGGCATTTTGCAAACTAGAATGGGAGCTGAAATGAAAACGCAGCGTGCTTTTTCTCCTGCAGTTTGGACTTGTTGGTTAAATGTACTCACATGCAGGCCTATTGTGTGGCTTCTCAGTGACTCTGGTTGCCTGTATCACTCAAGTGATAATCTATACTCCACCATAAGTGAACAGATGAATTAATAATCTAAAGCATCAGTGAGCAGAGAAGCAAGTGGGGTGTGTGACTGACGCTGCTTTCTTTCACAGGGGAGGAATTTGATGTGAGAGCCAAGTGTGTTATCAATGCCACGGGACCTTTCACGGACACTGTGCGCAAAATGGATGATAAGGACACCACAGCTATCTGCCAGCCGAGTGCTGGCGTCCACATCGTGATGCCTGGTTACTACAGGTACCCGCGTTCCCGCTCATGCATCGTCGCTGGAGAAGGAGGGCCGCGAGAAATTGTCTACACGTATTCTTGTAGCATACCTTTCTTAATAATAGATGGCTAACTCACTGTTCAAAATGAGGAGAAATGAGTGAAAAAACAGCTCCTCCAAAACACAAAACGCAAACTGGTCTTGAGAATTTCTTAGTTTTTATGGCAATACTCCTGTTTATGAGTTAGTGATTTGGAATCTATTTTTGTACTTTTTTCAGCGTACTCATCATCAGAGTCTAAGTCTTAGTATTTTTGAATTTTAACTTTCATGAAAACCCTAAAATTAATTTTGCAAAAATGTCCATAAAAGACATTTACATGAAAGCACTAAAAAGTTCATTTTATAAAATGCCTGGACTTGCTTATGAAGAATCTGAAAATGAGGACCAAATATTCTTATGTTTATAATTTTTGAAATATATTTTGAAAAATAATTTATAATTTCTAATTTATCATTTTGGCAAAGGTAATCAGAGGTAGAGAAATCGGCAGGGATAGAGATGAAATAAGAGCAGCTATTAATTGAAAATCCTTTAAGTGGGGTGTTGCACATGAAACTGCAATTTTTATGTGCATTTGAATTTTAAGTATTTTTTATTTTTAATAAATTTGAGAAGAAACGTGTATGATCCTAAGAAACTGATAATGATTACCCCTTATGTACATTTCAAAACATCTGGGGAAAAATTCATGTGTCCATGATGAATATGGAACATTTTTATTTGCATATGTAGCAATCTAATAGGCAAACTAGTACATAATTCTGTGAAATCATGATTTATGTTCAAGGTATTCATTTAAGACATCATTTGTAGTTGAGAAATATTAGAAGCCACGTAAGTTTCTAACCGTAGGAGGATGGATAAGTAAATTATCGTGTATCTGCACAAGGGAGTATTATATGGCCATTAAAAATTCTGAATAATTTTAGTGTCCTAGGAAAACCTGAGAGATACAGTGTTAATTTAGAGTGGAGGATACAAGATTGTATGTGTAACATGATCAAAAGTTATATAAGTATCTAGAAAAAGATGAAATATTTTAAATACCCATGGTGATTGCCTGTAGGTGATGTGATTATGAGTAAAAAGTTATAATTTCTAAGTAACGTGGTTAAAATGGGAGTTATCACTTCTATATTCTAATAATTTTTCATAAAAGACATATTTTTAATATTTGATAAAACAGATATACAGATCCATGATATTTCATTTAATATCTGCATTCTTCTAGAATGCTATCCCACCATGTAATATATGATGCTGCTTTATTAGTTTTCCACTAAGTCTTCTTGAAGAGAGTCCAAGATATTGTACCAAGCACACTTCTAATGAGGAAGATATCACACTTCTACCAAGAAGAATATTAACGAAATTTCATACCCACCAGCTTCCAAGGTTTCTTTGTTGTTTTCTAAATGTCTACATATAATTGATAGACAGTCATTAGTGTTTTCACTTACAATTGTAGAGACCATGGTGCTTCCAATCTCAATAATAAACACTTATGCAGTGGTGCTTGATAGAGTTTTAAAACCTGTTGAGCAGAAGTTTAGTTCAAATGAAAAGGAGAGAAGTAAATATATGTACATGATGCAAATGCTTCTTGTATATAGAGGTTTTCAAAAATAGCTTCAGACACAATTATATGCATTTATTTTGTGTTGGATAAAAATTTGCAAGGTCAGCTAGCTTGTAAGTTTTTGGAAGCATTTTCTTTTAGCAGTACACGTAGTACCTGAAGTATAGACACACACACGTCACCATAATCCTCACATTTGCTTCGATCTCACTTGTGCACAGTGCTTCATGTCTTTATTCTTGTCCCGTGATATCAGAGGACACATTAGTGTTCTGTATTATTCCCTATGTTATTTCTGCCACTTCATAATGACGCTGTTTGGGACAAGTCATTTTATTCTGTAAATCTTAGTTTGCCTGTCGTTAAAATATGAAGACATTCCACTCTTTCCAGTATACAGACAAAGACAGTATGGAGTATGATAAGGTGATACCTTGGTAAAGAACTTTCTGGTTTGTTCATCACTTTACCCCTTGTTAACTGTGCAACTTTGGGAAGCTTCTCATTTTCAGCTTCTGGTTCCTTATCTCACGGTAGTTCCTAATTTGTGTACATTTTGACAATGTTCGTTTGTTTATTTTTTTTTTATTTTCTTGACTGCTACATCCACAGCTCCTGGTACTTTATCTAGTACATAATAATGACCAGTAAATACTTTTTGAATGAGTTCTGCCAACTTTTTGTGTTAACTTGCCCAAATTGAGATTGTTCCTTTTTCTAATTAAAATTTTAATCATATCTATAATGGAATTTTAAATATATAGATATTAAAATATAAAACAAACTATGATTTTTCTTTTTACTGCCCAGATAACTCCCATAGACAAAAATAAACAAAAGTAATCACTATAGAAAAATAGAAAGATATAGAATGAAAACTGAAAGTCTCCCTCTTTTCCCCCATGTCCCCAGCTTCAGTTTTTGATAATGCTTCCTTCTGATTTCTTCCATAAAATTTTATGTTTATACTCGCACAAATGTATATCCTTTTAAACTTTTTTCATGAAGGAACTCATGCTATACATATGTTCTGTACTCTGCTTTATAATTCTAACAACAGAGCAGATAGGTGGTTTTTAAGAAATATAAATATATATCACCTGCATGTAATATTTTCAAAACAGAATGTCTTTCTTAATCCTAAAAATTAGGCATTAGTTTCAGACCCATTGGAGAAGGCAATGGCACCCCACTCCAGTACTCTTGCCTGGGAAATCCCATGGACGGAGGAGCCTGGTAGGCTGCAGTCCATGGGGTCGCTAAGAGTCGGACTCGACTAAGCGACTTCACTTTCACTTTTCACCTTCATGCACTGGAGAAGGAAATGGCAACCCACTCCAGTATTCTTGCCTGGAGAATCCCAGGGATGGGAGCCTAGTGGGCTGCCATCTATGGGGTCGCGCAGAGTCGGACACAACTGACGTGACTTAGCAGTAGCAGTTCAGACCCATGCCTGTAAGTTGTAAACGTGTTAGTCACAGCTGGGTCTGTTTAAGATGCAGTAAGTGATCTCGTTCTACTTTGGGAGAAATTAATATCTCCGTTTTTAGCACCTTGAACCACAACCACTAAACATCCTGTGGGGAACCTTAGAGGGGCGGTCTGGCAGCCCAGTTCCTGTTCAGTCTCTGTTTGCAGATGAGTCCCTTGGTTTGGGATTACAGTCTGGGTTAATTGTTTGGTCCCTCTTTCCGTACTGACTTTGAGCAGCTGTATCGCTGGCATCCGAGGGTTGGTTTTTCTCTCCATATCAAATTGTTCTCTTGGGTGGGTGAGGTCAAGAGATCTCAGACTGAAATCACTCTCTGGATTTCTCAGTCAGTCTTCACTCAACAGCTGTAACTGAAGGGTTCTACTAGGTCCTCAGAGATGAGTAAGACCTTATGCTGCTGCCCTTAAAGCCAGCTAATATAACTTAAGGCCTAGCATTTCAACTAGAACCTGATTAGTTTGACGGTACAGTGACTTCAGGAGCCACTGATTTATTGAGTGTAGGCAGCTAAATGGGGAATGAGGACCAGGTATGCAGTCTACCCTGTTGGGCTACTTTCAGAGTTTCTTCATGGCATTTATTAAGCTTATTATGACCCTAACTAACATTCCACATGTGGAATTACCTTGTGCCATCGTAGCAGCTTTCTCTCTTTCTCTGGATTGTTTTAATTTCAGAAAACTCAACACACAGAAATCATTTACTTTTGAAGGCACTCTTTACATTAAGAACTGAGAAGTTGCTGTGTAGCCCAGGGAGCTCAACCTGGGGCTCTATGACAACCTAGAGGGGTGGAAAGAGGTTCAAGGAGGGAACACATGTATACTTATGACTAATTCACATCGTTGTGTGGCAGAGACCAACACAACACTATAAAGCAATTATCATCTGATTAAAAATAAATTAAAAAAAAAGCAAATCTGGAATTTTCATCAGAGTTGTGGGTAGATGATCTTACAAAAGTAACTACAATACATCAAATGACTGAAATACATGAAAATAGTTGTTTCCTCCTTTTAGCCTAAAGATGCTTTTTACTACTGATGAGAGGTCAATTTTTTTTTTCCATAATGTGTGTGCATACTGCTGGCTCTAACACTGATTGCTGAGTAGTTAACAATAAATTGATTTCAGTTTAAATAAGGGTACTTCAGGATGGCAATGGTCTGCATGAGAAAAATGTTCATTACATCTAATGCTAGACACACACATAAATTAGCAGCAAGCTTCTTCTGTTGATGTCAAGTGAATTATACATATTGAGAAAAGACCTATGCCTCACCACATTGTATATACCATCCCTATAGTTGACAGCCATTTTCAAACTTTCGTGCGACCTTGCACAATTAATTCTTCATAAGAAAACAAACTTTTCCCTAAGGGTGAGTTATGAATTAGGTAATTTAGAACTGATGAGAAGTATTTCCAAATGGATTCTTAAATTTTTAATACCGTTCATTAATAGCTTTGTCTTCCCTCTGTGCTTGTTAATTTTATGTTTGACACATATGTCTTCACTTAAGCAGTTGATTCTCTACAGGTTCCAGTTATGTGTGTGTTGGTAACTATCACATTCACCTTTTAAACTGCTTTTATTGCACTGAAAGGTTTTAAAAGATTCAGTAGTTGTGCTTTTCCAACAGCATTTCATGTCTCAGTTGTTGAATATTATAATTTTATGCTGAAGTTAATCAAGTTTATTGAGTTACTTAGATACATGACAGTATCTGGCCCATAAAAATGGTCATATGTATATTATATCAACATGTAGTTTGTTCCTTAAATTTTAGAATATGAATTTATCCTTTTGTTTCAATATAGGACTATTTACCAAATTGTAAGTTTGAATTCATGAGCTAATTTCTATCACAAAGTGATGTGTTTAATCAAAGGGCATATCAACCCAGGATCAAATTAGGTGCTTACAAACCATATTTTAACTAGTTTCTTTTAAGATATTTAGCAAGTTTTATGGCAAGTACAAAGGAAAACTTTAGACATAGCTCTCAGTGTATTTTTTGAAAGTAAAATTACTTTAGGTAACCCTGAGTAAAGATGGGATCCTCGCTGAAGGTTTAAATGATTGACACACTTTGAGGTGATTTTTGCATGTGCTAAATAGAAGAATATCCGTTTGTTTCCAAGGCAAACCATTCAATATCATGGTAATCCAAGCCTATGCCCCAACCAGTAGCGCTGGAGAAGCTGAAGTTGAACGGTTCTATGAAGACCTAGAAGACCTTTTAGAACTAATACCCAAAAAAGATGTCCTTTTCATTATAGNCTCTGGGGAAATCGTGCCTTCAAGCAAGAGGCCCAAGTAGTACGTGCAAGCTGACAACGTCTCGTCCCCAAAGCTAGGGTGTGTAACAAGGATTAACTGTGTGAAGATCCCAGAAGCAAGGACACACGGGTCAAAGAAATTGGTGAAGGTAGTGCCCGGCTGATGCTTAAGGTTAGGAAAGGGTTTGCACAAAATCCAGTAACTAGGAAGGAAGCAGCAGCTAAAATAAAACCAATGGGTGGACTAGGAGGAAATAATATTAAGTGATAAGACAAAGAAAAACGTCAACGGTATAAGCAGAACACAGGAAGAATCAGCAGGGGTGAAGTTCAAACTAAGGGGATAGGAAAGAAACCCACTCAGATGCTCAGAGGAACAGTGAAGAGCAACTGTAAACCTAAAATAAAGCCAGAGAAGGACCAGAAATGTGAGTATCTAAAGAATCTGTTCCGCCACAAAGCACAGCTAGAAGGAGGGCACTGTCCTTGGTGGACAGTGAGGTCTCTGAGGTCAGGGTGGCTTTCCACCGGGTCTGCCCAGACGGCGCCCACAGCGGCCAAGAAGGGTGAATGCATGCATGAGCCCACACCTTCCCGGCTCAAAAGGAAAAACCCCGATCACCGCCTCGAGGGAATAAATTACAATCAACTGCACCGGCTCCTGCCGAGGGGCACCATTCGGTGGCAAGACCACTCCAGGTCACATTTGCACTCCCTTAAGAAGCTCTAGAATGTAAAGCCCGCATTTTCACAGGGAAGACACTCAGTTTCTTGCCAAAATGTAGTGATTTCCACCAGATGAAGCTGGCTGGGCAGCTCTCCAACAGTGTAAACAATAGCTCATCTCTTAAATGTGAAACCGTAGACTCTATCGGAGTCAGAAACTACATTAAAATAGAAGTGGCTTTGTTTCCATTTTCAAATCTGCGCATGACGTAGAAAGGAGCTGGTAAGTATGAGAGGTAATTGAGGCATGCATTTTTTTTTAATATGCCTGGTTTGACGTTTCGAGACCTCGTGTAGGAGAAGCGAGTGGGAGGCTAGAGCAAGGCAGAATCAAGTGAACAGGCCCTCAGGGGCTGAGAAACCAACTAAGATCCCAACAGGAGGGCAATAAAAAAGAAAAGATCACACCAACCACTAACTAGGGCAACTATGCTCTGGCCACCTGAAGCGAAGAGCCGACTCACTGGAAAAGACCCTGATGTTGGGAAAGATTGAGGGCAGGAGGAGAAGGGGACGACAGAGGATGAGATGGCTGGATGGCATCACCAACTCGATGGACATGAGTTTGAGTAAACTCTGGGAGTTGGTGATGGACAGGGAGGCCTGGTGTGCTGTAGTTCATGGGGTCGCAAAGAGTCGGACACGACTGAGTGACTGAACTGAACTGAACTGAAACAGAAGAATTGAAGCCTACTCTCTCCTGTATCTCGTGTAGACTACAGATAGTGATTTCTTTCTACAAATAGTGATTTCTGCCATGTCCAATTTCTTATGGATATGGCAGGCATTTCATGGGGCTGACGAATATTTGCAAAGAAATATTATTACTCCTTGTAGTTTCAATGAAGAAGATGCATTAATTAACCTGACTACAGATTTCTTTTTCATAAAAAAGTCATTTTTGGTTTGCTTTTAAACAGTATTCAGACTCTCATCCTTACACATTTGAATCTTGAGTTTCTTGTTTTTTTAATTTTAAGAGAAAGATAGCTATAAATAGTTGACTGTATGCCCTTTAAAATGTGTGAGCATAACATAATTTTTGGAGTTTATTGAAACCAAATAGAATTATATTTCCTATCTAAGAAATATTAATAGAAGCTGAAAATATATTTACAGAAAATAACTTTAACATTGTTTCCTTATGAGAATTCAGTCAAATTTAGCTATCTGAAGCTCTGTAGTGTTCAATTATTTAAAAATGACACTATGAGTTTCCTCCTGCCATTTTAACAATGTCTCCAAAATTTTAGTATGGTTAAAACAACAGTTACTGATGATTCAATAACACAACTGGGCAGGTTTTGTCAGTGTTTATTTTCAGTTGCCTCTTCTTGCAAGTGTGTTTTCCAATTTGGTTTTATAATATTAAGTAGGTATTAGAAAAATTCTTAATATTTTTTAAGATTTTGGTCTAGCAGAAGAGGCGTCCTTAAAGCTTAATTTAGTAGTATAATACACTGGCATCTTCTGCCTATTTAAAGATTTTCATTGCTAAAATATTTCTCTCCTTTTTGATCTTATCCCAGTACACTGTTATCCAGGTAGTAGTAGAAAACTGAGCCCTTTTCTCATGGATGCATTTCTTGAGATTTCAGTAAAATTGAAATAAAGTAAGAAATCTCATATTGGGTGAAGTGGTATAAGCTTATTCAGGCACAAGAGAGTAAAGAACTTTTTGATTACATTTTAGTTTCTAGAAAGTTAGACCCTTCACTTTTCTCACAGATTTCTCAGACCTTATACTGAAAGATGTACCAAATGTCAAATGTCCCAGGAAAATACTTTCCATGGGCTTGAAAAAAGGTTGAAGAACTATTCTTAAGTGACCATCATGAAAGAAATTATAGGCATTTTATCCTGCTGACTTTATCTGATGTGAATGGAGCAAGGGATCTAAAAACCCAAACAATCGGAATTGAAGTCCACGTACTTAACTCACCTTACATTGCTGGTTTTGCTGTGGAATATTATTATAATCACACTTGCTTCATTCCTTTTGTAATACCATTTTTTTTTCTTTTAGGAATTTCTAGATTAGGTTAGCGGCAGTCAAAGTAATAGTTCGTGTATTCCTAGTTTGCTTATATGAGAATTAGTGAATAAAATGTTTTAGAATGCAGATTAAGATCAAACTCTGGCTGATTTCAGAAATATGTGATCCTTTCTTTTCACCCCAGCCCAGAGAGCATGGGACTTCTTGACCCAGCGACCAGTGATGGGAGAGTTATTTTCTTCTTGCCCTGGCAAAAGATGACTATAGCTGGCACTACCGACACTCCAACTGATGTTACACACCATCCCATTCCTTCCGAAGAAGACATCAACTTCATTTTGAATGAAGTGCGTAACTACTTGAGTTGTGACGTTGAAGGTAACATGCATTCCTTTAAGTTTACTCTCCCTCTTTTATATCTCCCAAACCATCCCAGCTTTCACTAGGTAACTGCCATGCACCCCCACTGACTCATCTTCACGCCTGGCTGGCTCTGACTCTTATGTACTGACCGCTTCTTCTGGAAGCCTTAAGAAGGCCGAGGCATAACACAATAGGAGGAAGTTGCCTTTTTTCCCCCTCCACTTTCTATATCCACGTGACCATCCTCGCCTCGTCATTTCTGATAGCAAGATTGGAGTGCCAATCCGGCAGAGCTCTAAACACCCATGCTTTTCTAGGAGAGTATGAAATGTTTGCATCACTAATTTCTAGAGCTTGTGAAGATATGATTTACAAATCTAGGAAACCCATAGGAAAGAATTAGTTAGAGAAATGAGAGGATAGAGAAATATATTCTAAGAAATTTAGTGAGCTGTTACTATGTGGAAACTGGAATATTAACTAAGGATTTAGCTAATAAGTATGCTATTTTAATTGAAAAAGATAAAGTTCACTTCTTTCCAGTGCTAACCCGAACATGCCTTCTTTTAACTTGGATGTCATAGTATTTTCTCCAGTGGATATATATAGTATAATGCATTTTTTTTAATCCACGGTAGTTTCAAAAGTTTCCCAGCATTATTTCCTGTCTCACTTAATAACCTCACCATCCATCTAGTCACCCAGGCTGGAATGGCATCCTTATCTTTGCTGATCCTTCTCTTTCTACATCCAGTCCAGTTCCCGTCTCTGCTTACTCTGAAGTATCATGTAAATCTCCTCTCACTTCCATTGCCCTGGTTCAAACCTGTGTCATTTTTCACTTAAATAGTTGCATTGACCCCCTAACTAGCTTTCGTGTATCAGGCCTCTGTCCTCAACTGGTCTGGTCCTTCCATCAGAACTCTCTAAAACACAGTTCTGATCATCACTTCCCTGCACAAAAATATCCCCTTGATGTCTCATCATTAACTTTAGCAAAGTTATTGAACTGTCTCATATGGAATCTAAGGCTTTTCATGACTTGTCTTGGCAGGTTTGAATTCAACTATTCCACCTCTGTGCATTGACTTATTTAATTATATTGCATGACTTATTATTTCCAAATCAGGTCACACACTTTTAAATCTCCATGCCTTGTTTATGTAGGTCGAAGTGTTTTTCTTGGATAGTCTTTCCCCCAAGTTCTTATTTTGGCAAAATATTATTTATACTTGAGAAGCCACCCATCTTTTGTAGCCCCTTAGATCACTGAGCTAGTATATCACAACAGTGTATAATAGGCAATAATGTAAGATAGAGTCTCACCTGGTGCTCCTTAAGGCTAAGCCTTCTTTATTCAGTGTCGAAGCTTGTTATATATATGCTGGTATACCACTTATGAATATTTTAAATCAAAACAAGTTAGATGCTTTCAAGGTTTTTGATGCTAGTAGCAATTTGAAAATCTTTTTATATGAAAGTACAAAATTTAAGATTTTTGAAAAATAGTCATCATCTGTTTATATCAGGAATCTCCTATAATGTTGGCTTCAATGGAGGCCATGCAAGGACATAGTTTTTGTCTTAATGTGACTCACTAGCATCTATGAATCCTCTTTCCCTAAGGAATTCTTTTCATTATGTGATCACACATTTACAATCAAACAAAACAAACTGCTTACAAAGTGGTTTAGCAGATTCTCCTAGATTGTCTGATTGATCCATATTGTATAGTTTTAGTTTCTTCTAATTTCAAATAATGGTTGTAATTTCATTTTGAGTAGAGTCTCTTTGGATAGCTGTAATAATAGTATAAATATATTAAGTACATGTAATTGAAATCTATGTGGCTAAATGTATACTCTTTCACACAAACATACATACTCACACATAGTTATTTAAGAAATAGTTATGCCCAGTTTAATATCCATTGCAATTTCAGCTTGATACTTTTTCCCCTCATTTTGTGAGATAGAAGGTGCTTCATCTGGGTATGATTGTATTTTAATGAACTGATTATTGTTACTGAATCCTGCTTCATTTCACATTTACCTGGATATATTTTTTAAAAGTGGGTTTATATTGGATTCCAAGAGAAGGAAGTTTACATTGCTAGAGCAAGAAACAAAATTAATTCAAGAGCAGAGAGCTATAGTTGACAGGTTCCAAATTCTTAAAGTTCAGATGCACGAATGAGAAATCTAACTGCTTATATGTGCCCAGAGACTGGATGTGCTGGAAACAGGTATAGGTTCCAAGAAGCTGCTGTGCCCATATCATGGGTAGGGATTTCCACTAGTGAAATGAGACTTGGGCTAGAACAGACACCAAGCCTACACCCCTCACTTTTATTCTGCTTACTGATAGATAGAGGGCTTGGTAATACCATCTAGGGCCTCCTTGGTCTGTAGAGAGCTTTTCAGTTAACATACCTTTTGGTAGGTTAATTGGTGAAACTAACCAAGAATTTTTGTCAACTTTGATTTTTTTGTAAAAACGGATTGAAATTAATACGTGGACACTGTAAATCACCTTTCCACTGGTGGTCTCAGGAATCTTGAGGTTAAGAATTCTCCAGGTAGCAAACATCCAGGATAAAAGCAGAAGTGACAGCTCTTGCTTGTACTTCATTTATTTCCCTGTGCTCACCATCTATCACACCTTTCCTCCTTATCAGCTTATCCTTTTAAAAGCAGTTCAGCCAATGATTCTTTATGGTTTTTCTTCATTCTTATTTAGTGGACTGAAGTCCTCAGGGTATATGAGGAATTACACTCAGTCTTAGTAGAGTCCTAGTTAGCTAAAGTATGTCTATTTCCAAAGTAAAGGCATTCTCATTTGTATTTTTTCCAAGGAATTTTGGTGAAACCTGATATTCTCTTCTATACTGATGAAATGTGAAAGTGAAACTCAGCTTCAGGTCCCATTCAGTCTTTTTGAGTACATGCTGTTGCTGCACATATTTTAATCTTATTTTTCCTCAGTGGGTAATGCATGCTTGATTTTTAAAAACTCTGCCCTCATGGAGAGCTTTTTATGTAAGACACTCTGCTAAGCCTATTGCTTATATTATCTGATTCCTCATAACAACTTTATTAGTTTTATTTTGTAGTTTCCATTTTATAGGTGAAGAAACTGAGGCCCAGTGACTTTAAGTTACTTTTCCATAGGTCATTCATGTTGGAGATGATATTGTGTATGTGAGTCTAGCCCTAATATTTATGCTTCTAAACATTGTGCATATTCCAGTTGGTAGTCCTGGGTTTGCTGCATGATGTGATATTATATCCACTAGGGAGTGGATTACTTCTCTCAGTTCATTTCATGGAAACCTCTAGACACCTTCAGAGTGATGGTGACCTTTGCTCTCAAGTGACTGGCCTTATTTGGATGTGACTGTTAAAGTAGAGGTTTCATTTCTCATAACCAGTCCCTTGGGCCAAGCAGTCTTCTCTACAGATTTAAAAAAAATAGAAACTTCGTGTAGATCCCAGAGCCATGTTTTTGAAATGGTTAGTATTCATCAGGATTGAAATAATCATTTAAAAATGATTTATTAGATGGATAAGTAAAATTCTGACAACAGTCTCCGAGCCTCCCCAAATGGCTATATCCTTAAGAAAAAAAAAAAAGTGTCAAATCTTAACACTCCATGCTGTTCACAGCAGCTGCCACACTTCTGCAAAATGCGTCGGAACAATTCTGAAAAGCATTTTGTCTGTTGGGAATGAGACCATGTCTTCTTTTACAATTTAGAAAGCTCACCATTCACAGGCTGAATTTTCTAGATTACTTGTTTGTTCTTTTCTGAAATGGGTAATTGATAGTTGTGCGGTGTGTATTGGATTAGGAGGAAAAATGATCTTTTGAAAAATGTATCATTAAGTCTGCTGTGTAGAGGTTAATCAGGAGGATGCAGTGGCAAACCAAGCTGTGACTTAAAGGGGTGGAGGGGGACAGAAGATCTGCAGAGTGCTTTATCCATGGAGTTTTTCTGGAGTGCTTCTCTAGGCAGCTTCTCTAGTTGTACACAGGTTTTCACATATGCAATTAGTAGTGTTTATAGATTGCCTGTTATTCAATTAACAACGGAGCTGGCCGTATCAACTCACTGCAGACCTGCCTTTTCACTGCCAGAGATTGTACCAGGGTTATCAACTTACACAGGCTTGGATGTTTTCCAGCTGTTTAATTACAGTGTCACGCGCTTTGCTTTTTCTAGTTTCATTAGTTTATAAATGTAATATGGTATCTTATTTCTGTGATTAACACTTCATTTCTGCAGGTTAAACATGCTGGTAGAGAAGTATTGATTTCTGACACTGTTTCCCCTGTGTTCGTTTAGATATTTTCACATGCTTTTTATTGATTTTTTTGAAAGTGGCAAACATGAGACAGAGCACCCCCCAAAATGTATGGCTAAATAACTGATGTGAAGCAAAACCATACATTTAGCTCTTAATTATCACTTCCTGTGGGCTGCCTTTTCTATTAACTTTTAAAACCAATGCTTCTCTTACCAAGTTTTTAAGAATAAAAATACTAATTATAATTGGAAACAATTATACAGCACTTAGTCTTTTCAACCAGCTGTGAAAAATGTCTATTCAACTTTACTATTTATATTTTTGTCATTATATAATTTATACACTAAAACCTGAATGAGTTATTTGCAATTAAAATAATGTAATGAAAAGAATTCTTAACCATGGTGGTAGAAGGACTATGTTATTTCCTCACTATCCTTCTGAAAATATTGACAAGAACCTTTATACACTCCAGAGGTACTCACAATTGGCACTTAAAAATCAACTAGGTGCCATCTGGGTGAGCTGCTCTCATAATGGTGTTTACCAAGAATTTTTTTTCAGTTTTAATAGTAGTGTTGTTTCCTCTCATCTTGTCTTATTAAGTGCAAGTGTTAATCACTCAGTCATGTCCACCTCTTTGCAATACCATGGACTGGAGGTCACCAGGTTCTTCTGTGGATGGAATTCTCCAGGCAAGAATACTGGAGTGGGTTGCCATTCCCTTCTCCAGGGGATCTTCGTGACCCAGGGATAGAACTTTGGTCTCCTGCATTGCAGGTGGATTCTTTACCGTCTGAGCCACCAGGGAAGCCCTGGTGCTTTTATTTACTTTATTTATTAAAGTTTTCAGTTACTCTAAAACAGGATATCTAGTTATTTAAATATGTAATCATTAGAAACCTAAAGTCAAGTATATTGGCTCAGAGGCCAAAATGTTATTGCTTTTGATTTTGTAATGTCAGCTCTTATTTGATATAAAAACTTCAGAGAATTTTCTAATGTGCCATTTCATATTTATTGATCACAATTCATGACTTCTACTTGATACAGTATTTGAGGTACTGAGAAATACTAGAATTGATACTGCCAAAGACTCAACATGGTGAGGAAGAGGCAGCAGTACTGCCGTCTTGCCTAGCTATCTTGACAATACGAGGACCAGGAAAATCAAGGTGAATAGAATCTTTGAGTTCTGAAGCATACAAGCTTTGAGTTGAGGTTTTTTTCTCATATATTGTACCATGGTGAGTTCTTGGCTACAGCCAAGATGCTGTTCTCGGCTAGGTGATGTTCTTGGCTACAGCTGGAATGATAGGGTCAACTTCTGGGTAAGAACTTGAGGGTAGGAGTACTTAATTTAGTAAAAATATTTTCATTTCTTTGAATTGATGAGATTAGTAGGAGAGAAGGATACTTTGAAATGATGAGTATGGAACATGCTGTGACAGTACAGTGTTTTGGAGAGAGTCACATTCTATTACAGCAGATTATATTCTGTCAGATTTCACTGAATGGCTGCTCCATTGGAGACATGGGCAAGGTGGCCATGGGGGAGGTACCCAGTTTGACAATTTACCAGGACGAGTCTGAGATGTACTACTAGACAGTTTTGTTCTAGAACTGCCTTATGCAAAATTATAGCCTGTATGTGTGAATATCATGTGCCTATTTAAATTTAAATTAGTTAAAATGAGATAAAGTTTGAAATTCAGTTTCTCAGTTGCATGGACCACATTTCAAGTGCTTCATAAGCTCATGCAGCTAGAGGCTAGTGAATTAGACAGTGTAGGTACAAAACAGTTCCATCACTGCAGAAAAGTCTATGGAACAATTCTATGGAAGCTAGAGGTACTTACGTAGACAATTTAGAAGCAAATACTCAATTTATTAGAGTCATTGAATTTGTATTTTTTGTTGTTATAAAATAAAGAATGCGTTATCTTGTAAAAGAAGGTCTCCAGATATAAGAAGTCTCAAGAGGTGACTAATTTGGTGATTGAGCAAAATCTTCAGTGCGGGACCTTGTTGCTTTCACACCACCACCCTGCAGGTTGGCTTTGCCCTGCACTTGTTCCCCATTTTGTCACAATATGGCTGCAGACTTTCCTAGCAGTATTGGAAGGTCCTCTATGCTATCTGTCCACTGCTCGTGAATCTGTTTCTAAAGAGAACTTTAATTAGAGTTTAACAGTGTGCAAGGTTTCCATTGTGGGTGAATAAATAATAGAGAGAAACCTTTTAGTTCAGTTTGCTGCTGTCTTTTCTACAAGAAGTTAGAATTCATGTTTCATGTGTTTAGCTGTGCTGTTCCCTGTGGGCCTAGATTATACCCACAGCCCTGACTGGTCACTACTTAATTTAGATGGTAGAGAGGTAAAAAGTGCTTTATTCTTCATCAACTCCCCCCGCCCCCTGCAAAACAGCATTTTGAATAATCCATACAAGTCATTAAATCTCAAGGTTGGGAGAAAACTGATAGACAATAGATCCCCTGGTCCAACCATGCTCTAACGTAACAATATAACAATGCTGTAGGCCATAAAACCTGATTCCTACTTTAAATGTAATCTAAAATTTGATTATCCTAAATATATCTTTTTAAGTAAATTTTATCTCAGTATTCATTTGATACAATTCTCAGACTAAAAAACTGCATGGTAAGATATCAAGCAAAATAAATTAAGGTTCTTGACATGTTATAAAATCTTCCTGATAATGTTTTCTTTTCCTTTTTTTGAGTATCAATTTCAAAAATAAGGATTAAAAATCATATCAATATATATTGTGCTTCATTTAGTTTTCCTCCCTAATGAAAAACTCAAATGTTTTAGGTTGGTCTCTTTGTTTCAGATAGTACAGATTCATAGATGCATTTTTCTGCCTGTTATACCAGAAAAGGTAAAGCATTTGCCACAGGATTATTTACATGTGCTTTAAATTTACTTTAGAAAGTTTAGTTTTCCACCAAATAATTTTAAGATCAGTCAGAAGGCTGTGAGAATTGAAACCAAATTCCTGATCAGTGTGGCTGCCTAAGGAATTTCAGAGACACACTTTGAGACTTTGCAGTGACCACAATGACGTTCTAAGTGGTTGGCTAAGTTTTATTTTTGACTCAGAGGGCAGTTTGAACCCTAATGGAAAATAGTGGTAATTTCCTAGTTAAGCTTTTTGTAAAGATTAAAATATTGCATGGTTTGTGTTGAGGTTTTATAAGACTTTTGTGGAATTGTGTGGAGTGAGAATTAACCCCCGTTCCATGGAAACCATCAGGATTAAACCTGTTGAAGAAGATGCCCCCTTAGGGGGGCAAATCTAGGGATGGAATGCCAGCATCAAGATGATATGGGCATCCAGTTAACAAGACTGGAAGCCTTAGGTTTTCCTCACTAGCTTATGAGTTTTATTTTCCCTTTGTTTAGATTCAGTGTTGGAATATGGGTTTGATTAAACACCCCTGTAGAGATGTATGGGTACCTCTTCTTTCAGACTGTAGTCATATTAAGAGTGTGGCCCTTAACGAGCTATGCCAAATTTTTTCGGTTGCCTTTGGCTTTGGTTGAGTTTTTTTTTCCTGACATCTATCTTTCATTTGAGATCAAGATGGAGAGATTGTCTGTCATCCAGTGAAACTTTTTAGGGTCTTTTCCCTGTACTTGGTTATGTGCTTTTTTTAGACTGGTCTAATATTTAATCATTTCAAAGAGCCTTTGTGATTCCTTACACAAGAATTTGCTGGATGTATATTTAAATATTTTTCAAAGTCTACTTTGTCTAAATATATAGAAGGTTCACTATATAAGAACACACAATTCACATGTGAATGGGATCTGAAATCCAAATTGCTCTCTTCTTCTAATAAGTATTTTTGTCTTTTCTGGGAAGAGATACAAGATATATTCTTGGAGGAGATATGACAACTCATAAGTCTTCTGGTTTGTTCAGTTTGTTTTTGTTTCTGTTTTACTGTTGTTTTTGTTCTTTGTAACTACTGCAGATTGTCCCAGCTGAGGGCTGCTAACATTTATTTTGTTTCCTCTTTGAGAACCCATATCAGTGATTTTTCCAGTTCTTTGCTTTTATTCACCTCCCTTACCATTTTTCTGGCTGCTCTGCACAGCATGCAGGATCTTAGTTCTCCTACCAGAGGTCAAACCTGTGCCCCTTGCAATGGAAGCACGGACCTAACCCCTGGACCTAACCAAGGTCCTAACCACTGGACTGCCGGGGATGTCACCATCCCCATTGTAACTTACCACTCATTTAGCTCTTATATCTAAGGGCTTTTCCTCCCTTTTAAAGTACATATTATGTGTTCCTTTTACTGAACTATGTTCTGCTTATTAATTATTTCATGGTCTTGTTGAGATGTCTTTGAGTCATCCTCTTAACTCTTGGCATTGATCCTTCCCAGTGAGAAGAGGGGATGTCCTGGCTGCATGGAGCGGTATTCGCCCCCTTGTGACAGATCCCAAGTCTGCAGACACCAAGTCCATCTCCCGAAACCATGTTGTGGACATCAGCGAGAGTGGCCTTATCACTATAGCAGGTACAGGATGCTACCTTGTTGTTCAGTGTGCTTTAGATAGCAACTTGAGTTAAATTCTCATATCAAAATCTCTTTTAATGCTAATGAACAGAAGGTTTTTTTTTTAATGATTCTGAGTAACATCTTACCCATGGCCTCGCCACACTTGTTATAAACAACAGGTGAATTTTCTTATTAATAAGTTGAGAAATGGTTAACTGTAAGAAAATTGGGTAGTAACCTGACGAATGGCTTATCAATGTATTTGTAGGTGGAAAGTGGACAACCTATCGATCTATGGCAGAAGATACCATAAATGCCGCAGTCAAGGCACACAATTTGAAAGCAGGACCAAGTAGAACAGTTGGGCTTTTCCTTCAAGGGGGCAAAGACTGGAGCCCCACACTCTACATCAGGCTCGTCCAGGACTATGGACTTGAAAGTGAGGTGGGTGTGCATTGCCACATCATCTTACTCTTGACTTAATCTCACTGTTGCCAGTAACAGGATCGGCAACCACGGGGCCTCCATGGCTTTGAGTTTACTATTGCTCAGTTGTTTCTGACTGTGTACTGTGGGAGTGAACTAATAGAAAAAAATATTTTGCTTTAGTTGCCTAAAAAGCATTGCATGTTTTGGTTTCTGTTTTAGAATCTAGGGTTTGTTTGGCTTGTTCCTAGCAGACGGGACCTCCCGAATACTTTCTCTCTTGAGCATAAGGAAGTCTGTTCTTCAGAAGTGATATCAGGAGCACAATGAAGCTGAAGCTTCATCAGTCACTGGTACAGTGATACATGTGTAGTAGACTTTGTGCTGGCCTAAGCATTCGGAGCCCATGTGGTTTCCTCCCACGAAATCAAAATCAAATGCTCTCCTAGGATTATTAGTTACAGGCTGTTAAAAAAAAAAAGAAAACCTGACTAGATAAGCAGGTACATTTTTTTGCTTTGTATCCAGAAGCTATTGATACTTCAGAGGACCTGCCTGATGCAGTTTCATTTCCTTAGGTGGCCCAGCATCTTGCCGCCACCTATGGTGATAAGGCTTTTGAGGTGGCCAAGATGGCAAGTGTGACGGGAAAACGGTGGCCCATTGTTGGAGTGCGTCTTGTATCAGAATTTCCATACATTGAAGCAGAGGTATGTAAATGGCCCTGTGGAAGTTTCCCATCTGCCCTGGGATACTTTTCATCTGTTCACTGTTCATCTTCTTTAGAAATTAAACATAGCTAAGTTTTAATGCAGAAATATCAGCTATAACCTGGAGCAAAATGTCTGCCCAGCACAGTTCCTTTCACTTACATGATTTTAATTTCATCTCTGAAGTGACATTGATAGTGATAACAATAATCATAGAAAATATGGGTTTCTTTCTCCTCCACAGAGCTATCCCAAGTCTTATTGACTCAGTTGTTTGCCCCTTTTGAGAGTTTGTAGCTCCTCAAGTTTGTACCACTTATGTTGTGCCTGTGACTTTTTTTTTTGACATGGACCATTTTTCAAGTCTTTATTGAATTTGTCACAGTGTTGCTTCTGTTTTATGTTTTGGTTTTTTGGCCACCAGGCATTTGGTATCTTAACTCCCTGACCAGGGATCAAACCTACACCCTCTGCATTGGAAGGCAGAGTCTTAACTGGTGGACCACCAGGAAAATCCCTGATGATATGTCTTGACATATATAATTCACTACATCTTAAACATGGGTATCCAATAAGCATTTTGTTGTTGATTGAATGCAAGACTTCTGTCATCTGATTACTCTGAGACATAAAACTGTGGCCAGCCTTCAGAGATGAGACTGTAACTTTTTAATTGTAACTTTAAACTTCTTCTTTGCCTATTCAGCTATGTGTATTAACATCCTTGTCATAAACAAAAGAAGTGATTACTGTGGATGGTAACTGAGGAGTGATGCAGTTTACATGTTTGGGCCAATTTCTGTTCAAGGAGAAGACGTTAACTCTTATCCAAATTGTTCCAATTTTCAAATCTCCTTTGGCAGGCAGAAAAATGGGGAACTTGTGTGATGTCACTGTTTGCTTCATGTCTGCTAGAGGGAACCAGAGTATGTAAAGAAAAATGTCACTGTACCTAAGCATGGATTTAGGTGAAGCTTTATTTCTCTCCTTTTAAAAAACGCGTAAATTAATCATTTTACTTTAATTCAAACCCAGGTGAAATATGGGATTAAGGAGTATGCTTGTACTGCCGTGGATATGATTTCGCGTCGTACTCGCCTGGCCTTCCTAAATGTGCAGGCGGCAGAGGAGGCCCTACCCAGGATTGTTGAATTGATGGGCCGAGAACTGAATTGGGATGATTCTAAAAAAGAGGTATCATATAGAAGTCTCTAAAACCACATTTTCCATTATAGACGTGGAATGTCTTAATCTGTTAGTAGAGGCTAACAGTTATCTCCTCTTGTTTTAATTGGAGGGCAGTGGCTTTACACTGCGGTGTTAGTTGCTGCCGAGCAACCAAGTGAGTCAGCTCCGTGAATACACGTGTCCCCTCCGTCCTGGGCCTGCTCCCCAGCCCCCACCCCAGCCCCCCCCTCCAGGTCATCACGGAGCTCGGGGCTGCGCGCCCGTGAGGCACAAAGAGCAGGTTCCCGCTGGCTATCTGTTTTACACACAGTGGTGCATGTCTGTCAGACCGAATCTTCCAGTTTACCCTCCCCCTTACCCCTCTGCCCTCTGCCACGGCCGCATATCTGTTCTCTGCATCTGTGTCTCTTTTCCTGCCCTGCAAATAGGTTCAGAGATTAGCATAGTTTTCAATGGTGACTTTATAATTCCTGCCAATTTCTGTGTGTGTTTAATACTACTAGGCCTTAGGAAACTGGAAAGATATTCTTGTAACAAATATGTCATCATAACAAATTCTGGTAACAAATATCCTTGTAACCAAATATTCTTCTTGGTTGTTTTTGGAAAATCCCATATAGAAAAATGTTCTAAAATTTGTGGTCATAATTCCTGAAAAAGTAAGATAATAATGATTGTGGGTAGAACCTTTTCTGGTTTTCACTGAAAACATTCTTAGAATGTATTCTTCAGTGAAATTCACACTCCTGCAAGTTTGCCTTTGGTAGGAAATTGTGGTTTTATGGCCTGACCACAAATGCTTATTGATTTGTGTCATTTGAAACTTTATATTTATATCCAAATTAAAAAAAAGAAAGCCATTGATGTTCAGATGTCCACATATACAGCCCAGGGCCTCTTCTAATAAACAGATCGTCATGATTTTTAATTAAACCAAAGTTTCAGGCAGAGGCATTTTCTTGTATTTATTCAGAAACTATTCCCTGTGTTCGTTGGTTTAGTTCCTTTCCCCTGGTCTTTCTTGAACCCGTTCCATTTAGGCTCCTTCACAGCCACTTTGCTGTCAGTGGCGCTGGTCACACTTTCCAGGCGCCTCCACGTTGCTCTGTTATTGGCTTTCCTCATCCTTTTAGTCAGCCAGCTAGTGGCCTTCCTAGAGTTGATTCCTCCCTCTTTCCTAAACACCACCTGTCTTAGTCTGTTCAGGCTGCTCTGACAGGATACCACAGACTGAACGGCTTACACAACATAAATGTGTTCCTCACAGTTCTGGAGGCTGGAAATCTGAGATCAGGGTACCAGGGTGAGATGGTTGGGTTCTGGTGAGAGCCTTCCTCCTGGCTTTCAGACAGCTACTTTCTGGAGGAGATGCAGGTAGGGGGCACTCTCTGGTCTGTTCTGTTGAGTGTGCTAAGCCCAACAAGGTTTATTTAAAATTAGTTACCTCCCCAAAGCCCCATCTCCAAATCCTGTCATATTGGAGGTTAGGCTGTCAGGATATGAATTTGGGAGGATACATTCAGTCCATGTAGTATATCCCAGGTGGCACTAGTGGTAAAGAATCCTGCTGCCAGTGTACTCGATGCAGGAGACCCAGGTTTGATCACTGGGTCGGAAAGATCCCCTGGAGAAGGAAATGCAACCCACTCCAGTATTCTTACCTGGATAATTTCATGGACAGAGGAGCCTGGTGGGCTACAGTCCATGGGGTTGCAAAGAGTCGGACACGACTGAGTGACTAACAGTCTGTTAGAATCAGTCTTCAGAGATGACGCCATAGCCCTACCTTTAAAATATTCTCTATCAGTCATTTTCATGCCACATGTGTAGTGCACTGATGGTAGAAATCACTGAAAAGAACTTCTTAACCCTGGTCACCGTGCTGTCAGGCATAACCTTTACCCTCATTTTATAGATGAGAAAACAGACTCAGGGAGTAAGTCCTGGTGAGAGTTCATACAGCTAGTAGATTGTGGAACTGGGATTGAAGCCAGGTGTCCAGATCCCGGAGCACACCCTTTTCCCACCCCGCCCTGCTGCCTCTGCATTGGTGGAACTGGTTTATATAGCTCTTCTGGTTTTGAGTTTGGGTTTGGCCAGTTTTGAAGCTATATAGTGAGGCACCACTAGAGTGAAACTTTCTCCTGTTCTACGGCCACTCATTTCTACCATGCAGAAGGACTGGGGATAATGGGTTCCTGTAAAAATTATGGTTGGAGTGATTTGACTATGCAGAAAGGTGCTTTGTGCTAGGAACGCAGGCTGTAGGAGGTAGGAAGAAGGAAGAAAACTCTGTGAACTGGCTATGTTCAGCTCTCCCGAGGAAACTAGATTTACATGGGTTTAGGTTTTATGAGCAGATTTATGTACTCAGAAATATTCTCCCAGTCCCCTAAACAAACAAAATAACAGAAATAAGAGACCTAAAGTTATTACTCAGTATCTGAGACATAGGAGTATTCATGAGAACAGTAGAGAGTCTAGAGAGAACAAAGGAGAGGGGAAAAAGAATTAAAGGTTACTGGACTTCTAAGAAAAGGTTAAAAGCACTGGGATTATTTAACCTGCAAAAGTGAAAGAGAAGCAGGGTGATAAATAACTCTCTGTAGATGAATTGTGGTTGTTTTTACCAGTCAATACTTACTGAGTGACTTGTATCCTGAGCATTATACTAAGTATTTTAGGGGAATAATAAATAGCCCATAGTTTCAAGGATCTTCAAATTTAATTGCGTGGTTACAACATATATACATATACACACCTTAGAAATGTGTGTGTATTTTCCAAAATTTATAGAATGATTTGGAGAACTGTTATTTAAGACCAAAGGCAGTCAACTTAGAAGAACTGATTAAGGAAGAAGGCATTATCTAGGGGAGCTGGGGATTAATAGAGGAGTTGGTGAAGATATTTAGGAATACAACACTGCCAAATTGTGTTTTACACAATTAAATATATATGTTAATATGTGTGTGTGCATGCTTAGTCATGTCTGACTCTGTGACCCCTTGGACTATAGCCTGCCAGGCTCCTCTGTCTATGGGATTCTTCAGGCAAGAACACTAGAATGGGTTGCCATTTCCTCCTCCAGGGGATCTTCCAGACCCAGGGATCAAACTCTCATCTCCTGTGGCTCCTGCTTTGGCAGGCAGATTCTTTGCCACTTGAGCTACCTTGGAAGCTCTATGTAAAAAAAATACATAATTATAAATAAATAATCAGTGTCTAAATTAATAACAGTGAAAAGATGACTATATGGTCAAAAGAGTTTGGGAAATTCTGAGTTAAACAAATGAAACCATTTTCTTTAGTGCAGATAATTTGGTGCCTTTAAAGTGCTTATGTGCATTGTCAGTCTCCCAAAGACAGCTTATTTGGGGACAGATCCAACTCTCACATGTTGGAAGGGCTGGTGGAAAGGGAAACGAATATTACTTTAGGATGTATTTTGGGAAATGCTGCAGTAATACTTGGTAATGTAGACTTTATAACTTGCAGACAAAACATACATTTCATTGAAAGACTTTAAAAAGACCACTTAAGTAGATTTGAGGGGATCTCCCAAAGGGAAATTATTTCAAAATTGATTCCAACAAAAAGAATAAAGAGGAAGCAAGTGAAGAAATGGAGTGACCATGGACAGAGCAAACTGATAAGCAACAAATATTAAACAGAGGGAAGAGAGGTACTCAACATCGGAAGAGTACCCGGGACTAATAAGAATGTATATGAATAGTGTCAGGAACTGGAAAAAATTCTAAAAACATTAAAAATAGCTTTTAAAACTGGAAAAGAGTACAAAGAAAGTCTAACCTAGATCTTTGCTCAAAGGTAGCTAGCACCAGATTTTTTATTGCCAGAGAAGGGAGGGGACCTTTCAACTCATAGTTTAATTCCAATCTGTTTTTTCTTTTTCTCCTTTTTGTTAAGGAGAATGATTTTCATTGTGAGAAAAGCAAAATAAATATTGATAATAGGAAATAGGCATTTAAATAGGAGACTGCTCTAAATGCGTTTTTATGCCAACTCAGAAATTTTATATACCTCAGGGTACTCAGAGAATTTGCAGATGGGGTTTATTTAACTACTGTCGAGGTTTAAAATATTATGGCAAATAGAAACAGAATCAGAAGACAGAAGGTGGGCAAATGTAGTACCACATTCTTAAGTTGGCTGCTTGGGCCTTGAGTAACTAACTAAAGTGGAGAAATAAAGTTTATAACCTGTAAGCCAGTGGTCTTGGGATTGGTCTTGGGCTGTTTTGTAGGTTATGGCATTTAAGTTTGTTTTGTCAGTCTTTAGCAAGAAGTAGTGATCTCTAGAAGGTAATACTTAATCACTTAGAAAAAATCACTTCAGACATATCTTTTCAGGAAAAGCACATGATTGTTAGATTGACGAAATGTTATAGACATAATATATTTGGATTCCGTAAAGCATTTTATGACGCCCCCTGTGATGTCTTTTAAAAATGGTGGATTTGTAACTAGTCAAATGATCATCTTTGGTGTACTCATGAGAAACTGGAGGAAGAGTGAATGCTTGGTGATAGATTGAAGCAATGGGTGAAATTGCAATTACATTAGGTATAATTTAATAGAGACAAATGGCAGACATTGTATTAGGTAGAAAAACAACGCCATCCATTCATGACAGATTTGACAAGACTTAACAGTAGCATCGGAGAAGACAATGGCACCGCACTCCAGTACTCTTGCCTGGAAAATCCCATGGATGGAGGAGCCTGGTGGGCTGCAGTCCATGGGGTCGCTAAGAGTCAGACACGACTAAGCGACTTCACTTTCACTTTTCACTTTCATGCTTTGGAGAAAGAAATGGCAACCCACTCCAATATTCTTGCCTGGAGAATCCCAGGGATGGGGGAGCCTGGTGGGCTGCCGTCTGTGGGGTCGCACAGAGTCGGACACGACTGAAGCGACTTAGCAGCAGCAGCAACAGTAGCATATGCAAAAACGAAATGTATTTTTTGTTAACTGTAAATGCATAGCAGGTGACAGTGGATCATGGCTGCCCCCAAGTGCAATTACAATCTTAAGTTTCCTAAAGAAATCATATATCTAGACTAATGATGCTGATAGTTACTTCTTCCTAGGTACTTGCCAGGTCTCTGTTGGAGTATTGTGTTGTGTTCTGACCATTTTATTACATGACAGGCTAGCTGTGGTTTGGGAGAAATTATCCAGCATGGTGAAGGGATTTAAAATCATGTGCTATGCGGGAGAGTAGTTCTAGATTTAAAGAAAATTCTTAAGAAGGAAAGCTCTATTGGGTTGGTCAAAAAGCTTGTTTAGGTTTTACCATAACATCTTAGGAAAAACCAGAACGAACTTTTTTTGCAAACTCAATATTTGTTGTGCTGTGATACAGGAAAAAAATCTTTTGACTTGAAAAAAATTACTGTCAGAAAGTTTCACTAATTCCAAACAAATTGGTAGAGTTGCAGTGTTCACAACAATAGGTAGTATCAGTTGAGGCTGGGATCACTGAAAACAAGAAAAGTAACTATTCAATAGACCAGCATGTTTTGTTTTTTCTCAAAGCTCTGTCATTTCCATCCAACTAGGGAGTTGGTGATGGACAGTGAGGCCTGGCATGCTGCGGTTCATGGGGTCGCAAAGAGTTGGACACGACTGAGTGACTGAACTGAACTGAAGCAGCATCCTAGTGACAAAATGTTAGAATTGGTTAACCCGTGATTTCTGTCTTGATACAGCATGCCGCATTACAACAGTTATTTACTTTTAATTGCTCTTTGGTCACCAAACCACAAAGATTTGGTCCTGTAGATTTTGCTAGTCAATACTATGGAGGAATATTCAGCAATAAAAACAAACAATATTAAAGCATGCAACAACATGAATGACTCTCAGAATTGTTATGCTATATGAAAGTAGTCAAAACACAGAAGAGTACATACTATATGAACCCTTTAATATGAAATTCTAGAAAAGACAAAACTCTGGTGACAAAATGAGATCAGTGGTTGCCTAGGGGTAGAGGTCAAGGGAAGGAATCAATTGGAATAGGAATGAGGAAGCTTTTGGGGGGATAGAAATGCTCTTTATCTTGTTCATGGCAGTGTATACATCAGACTGTGTACCTAAAGTTGGTGAATTTTATTGAATATAGTTATACTTCAGTAAAACTAGAGGAAATAAAAAATTGTCCTGGCCAGAAAAATGAGGATGCACTTTCTCTTTAGAAAACCACGTGGAAAAAAAGGAGAAAAAAATCAATTCTTTCCATAAATCTTTAAACTTTGTGTGTGTCTGTGTTTTAGGAAGAACTTGAAACAGCTCGGAAGTTTCTGTATTATGAAATGGGCTATAAATCTCGATCAGAACAGTTAACAGATCGCTCTGAAATTAGCCTACTGCCTTCAGACATTGACAGGTACTTCTGATAAGTTTCTGTCTTTCTCTCTCTTTTTGTCTTCACTTACCTAAGTATATTTTTCCATTATTTAACATTGTGTTCCAGGTACAAGAAGAGATTTCATAAATTCGATGCAGACCAGAAAGGCTTTATTACCATTGTTGATGTTCAACGTGTATTAGAGGTATTTTTTATGGTTCAGTATCTTTGATAGCAGAGGAATGTAAAGATTATCCTAGATCATTTTTTTCTCATCTAGTACTATCTATAAGTAATATTTCTCTCTGAATTTTTGAAAGGCTAGTAATGTTAATAAAAAGATATACATAATTTTTAACAAAACTTCATTATTTTGTGCTTTCCTTTTATTTAGAGTATCAATGTCCAAATGGATGAAAATACGCTACATGAAATTCTGAATGAAGTAGATTTGAATAAAAATGGACAGGTTGAACTCAATGAATTTTTGCAGGTGAGTTGTGGTGAAAGAAAACAAGTGTATTTTCTTTTTGTCTATTGGTCATCAATAGTACTCAGGAATGAATTTCAAAGTCGATACAGTTGTCACCTCATTCTGAAAAAGAAGAAAGCTTGAAGCCAGCAAAGGTTGATCCCTCTTAAAGGATATGACTTTGCATGGTGTGTATTCTTTAGCTTTTTATAAAATACATTATGTTGTATTGGGCAATTTAGATTAAATCTAGGTTAATTATGGCTTAAAGGGATAAATCAGAAATGTGCTTTATCAAGAAATAGGCTGAGGGAGACCACTGCTGGACACTTCTTTACTTCTAAAGTACAAAGTTTATTTTTAATAGAGGAAGTTTAAAGAAATCAAAGTTGTGTTCATTCGAGAATCATATTCACTTGAGAACCCAAAATGCAATGGTTATATTCTTGCATTATTACAAACCTGAAAAGCAAGAGAAAGGAAAGCTACATTCTAGAGTCAAGACCATGTAATCCAAGCATCTTTATTTCTAATTTTCCCCTTATTCAAGGTTCAGTTGTTTAATAATAACTGAAAAGAAAGTAAATTTTGTTACTTCAAAATGGATGCTACACATGAATCCTTAAAAGTTCCTTAAAAGAAGGAAAGTCAACAACCTCATACATTATTTGTAACGGTCCATAGAACTCTGCTCTTATGAAGAATGTATTGGTTTCCAGACAGGCCAGGTTTTTTCTGTAGTGCTTCTTGGGCAGGTATTTCAAATGAATGCCAGGTCTTGCTTGCACCATGGCAATGATGAATGCTGAACATGAAATAAATTAATGCTGGGGATTTTGGTCAATGTCAGCCCTTTCTTCACTGTGTCAAGTTAAACAAACAAGATCAAGGCAAAGGAAATGGTAATTGTCTCTCTGGAGATGAGCAGCAGATAAGAGCATTGTTGAATCTAAATGCAGAAAATTTTCACGGGTTGTGTCCAGCATTACAAAAAAGAATGTTACTTCTTTAGCTTACTGTTTAACTAGGTGGACATTTGAAATTGAGTTTAAAATGTATGCTTGGAAATTAGAAACCATTTCATACATTTTTTGTTTAGTTTTCCTTGAGAAATTTTTTTGTCTGTCTCAGGATTTTAGAAAACTTTTCTTCAAATAAATAGTTAATGCTTCATTTCATATAGGTTGTAAGTAAACAACAACATTTAGGGTTCAAAGACCTGAGGTCTTAGAAACAATAAGAGTCTAATGTTATGGATATGGATTTTGGGTGTTAAGTAATTTTCTTGAGTGCAGTAGAGCTAAACACATAGAAAATAATTTAAACCACCTGCAAGTTTTCTTGTAGTCTTTTTAATAATTATTTCTTGTCCAATTCTAAATGAAAGAGACTATTCATGCTTTACTAAGTGCATACATAGTATAATTTTCAACTTAAAAAATGCTGATTATATTTCTTATGAAATATATTCACACCCAAATATTATTTTTTCTTGTAATATGGTTTTAAGATATATGTAATGTTTGAAGAAAACTTTGATTTGTTAAAAGTTGATACATCACACAACCTTTATGGATAAAGGGAAAAAAAAAAACTCCAGCTCTCTCAGTTCTGTTAGTGCTGATAAACTTTGAAGGTATTCATTGAATCAGACAAAACAGTAAACAAGACATCGCTGTCTTTAGATGTCAGCATTCTTTGTTATACCGTTCATAGGTGGAGAGTATTTTTTCAGGATTTTGTTTCATTTTTATTAAAATAGTTTCCTTTTCTGAAGATTAAGAGCCCGTGTGTATCCCATTAGACAGTTTTGAATTTAGATATTTTTAAATAATCCTCATGGAAGATCTCTGTAGATTCTGCATCATTACATGACTTTATTTTTAGGTTTGGACTCTAATGACACTTCTGCATGTAGGAGTCCATCTCTAATAAACAATAGCTTGCGAAACAGCTTTTAACAAGGTCATGAAATTCTGATCCAGCCCCTTGGCAGATGCCTCTGACCCTTATTCAGAGTCATTTTTAAGAAATGTGTCTCTTTAGGCTAGAAACTATAACCCTGCAAATATTTTGAGGATTTACATATCTATATATATATACATATATATACTCCTGATGAATGATTAAATCAGTTCTTTAAAAAATAGATAAAAAATATTGAAGAAGTGAGATCAAGAAAAGCAAATAGTTAAAACCACATCAACTTGAAAAGAAAAAAAAAAATCCCCACGCTCATAATTGCACAGTGCCTTCCAGATTAAAGGCCTTTGCCCGCTGACTGCATGTAATTTCAAGACTAATTCTGATTTTATCCACTGGATAAAAATGAATTAGCTAAAATCTGGGCTGTGGAGTGCTTTTACTTCTTAAGGTAGATCTCTGGGTCCATTTTCAAGGACTTAAATGTAAATGATTTTAAAAAGTCTCTAAGGAATTTGGATTTGGGGGACTTGAAGTTGTCAAGTACAATAACACTAAAAAAGAGTAGTTAAATATGTCATGGTTTGTCTTTGTTCAATCCCTGAAATTCCTTTTTAAGATTTTAAAATGGAATTAAAGATTCAATATTTGAGTTGCTCAAAAAAATGTATATGCGCGGAGCTCATTGAGGGGCAAAATGCGATGTACTCAATCTGCATTTAAAGGCAGACTGATTTGCTAGATAGGTCTTAGTTTTTGCAGCCCTAGCAAAATACCTGCCCCTTTTCCCCTTTTTGAAATGTTTGAAAATTGTAGTTTCTTCTGTGAACTGTAGTACCTGCTGCGGTTTTTGATGGGGGCATTTAATTATCCTCACCTGCTGCAAGGGTTACCATTAAAATGCTGTGAAGACAAGGAGTAAGCTGGTCGGCCTTTTGAATCTCTTACCTATTTTCTCTTTAAGCTGATGAGTGCTATTCAAAAAGGAAGGGTGTCTGGAAGCCGGCTCGCTATACTCATGAAAACTGCTGAAGAAAACCTCGATAGAAGAGTTCCCATCCCTGTGGACCGAAGTTGTGGAGGATTGTGAGTCTGAGCAGTGAATCCACAGCCGACAAACATCATCATGTAACAAACCAGAGGGGACTGACACCACTCCAAAACAGTAGACACGGATAGCTGCCTTGTTTTAACACTGGGAAACATTCCAAAGCTTTAGATGTCGATGTAGACCCTTTATTGGTATTTGCCATTCAGTTTAGCTTCTTAAAAGTGTATTTTATCACCTTTTCTCATTTTCAGTGCACACTGATTTAATGTTTTGCTCTCATTTTGTGATCTGTTAGACTGGACATACTCCCTTTTTGTTTATTCATTTATTCTAAGTCAATTTGAGAGGCAGAATATTTTGACAAAAATCGAAACCAGAAGCTGGAAGCATTTTGTGAGATGCACAAAACTCTGGATATTAAGCTTGTTGATAATATTTGTTATTAACAGGAGTGGGACCTATTAATAGCATTTCTGGAGACCTCTCAGCCCCCTTCTTCCTCCAGCTTGTCTGCCTTCTTTATCCAGACTTTATATCTAGAGCATGACTGGTAAACTGGAGAGGGAAAAAACAGTTTAGATCTGGTTATAAGAGCAAGTCTCAAGGAGAAGCTCTGAAAGCTTCCAGAATCACAGGTATGAGATATGAGGATAGCATTGACATTTGCTGGGAGTTACAGTGATAGTTTCATCTCAGCAGTTCATTTTTCCCCCCTGTCACTGCTGGTTTTTCTTTGACTATTACAGTTGCCAGGAAGATCCCTGCTTTTCTTATTTTAAAACCAGCATTTAAGTGGCAAGTTGGATACAGTGGGATGGGATTAGATTTCTCAAATCTTTACAGTTGTAATAAATTTAAGGATTAAAAACCTATGTTCATATATCCACATATATAGCACAGTTTTCAATTCTCAAATCCTAGATGTTGGAGCATGTGATACCATTGAACATGGCCTGTTTTGCTCAGGTTATTGTATCAGTTGGAGGGAATATTTGTAAACAGATAGTAAAAGAGAATAGAAATAGCCTATTAGTTAACTTTAATTATAATTATTTGTAAAAAGGCACACAATTACAGAGTTCATGGTCATTTTAATTGCTTAAAGCCTTTCTCCTTCTGTACTAAATGGAAACATTCTCAACCAAAAAGAAAAAAAAGAAGACCATCCTTGACACTCACTCACACATGTCCACCATCACACACATACACAGTCACAGAAAGACGAAACAAAAAGATCAGTCTGCCCAGAATTTAGCTAATACATAATATACTGGATTTAAAGGGCCAGTTTGGCATGCTTTTGTAATGCTCTGGTGGCATTTTAGCCAGTCGTCTGAATATGTCTTCTTCGTGCTTCCTCTTGTGAAGTTAACTACCTGCTTCTTTTGATTTTTAAGATCATGTTGTGTATAAAATAGGAGATGTGACCCTTTTTTAATGTCAGGTTTTCATTGTGCAGACTTAATTTTTCAAACTGGTACATAAAACACTTCCATGCTGTTATTTCTATATATGTCAACATTGTAGAGTATCTTTATGTCTTATTCGAGTTGGGCATGAGCCTGTCTGTCATAATATACACACTGGAGGTTAACTCACCTAAGCCCCCACCCTCACCTCAGAAACAGATAAGGTAGCACGGTAACTCATTTTGCTTTTAAAATGAAGTTTAGACTTGCCACTTCCTTAAGGAAAACCTAAAACAGAGCAAGTGAGGCTCCCAAGTATCACTGTGAACTTTTTCTTTTAAGGTGTGATTTTTTTTTTTTTTTTTTGCACTGGTTTCTTTTCCTTTTTCTTTTTTAAAATAATAGACGCATGTGGTTTTGTAATTTTGTTTTTCTATCAAGACAGTAATTTCACTGTTTAGAGCCCAGCGACCCTTAATAGAAGAGCTGTCCTTTAAAACATCAGAGATGATGTACCACAGTATTATACATTTGTGCTCTCTCTCTTTCTCTCCATTTCTAGTTAAATCAAGATAACGATGGCTTGTATCCCCCCTGAATCCATTACAGTAGGGACTGGGCATATAACCTGAGTGGCCTGGGCAGGACTGTATTTGAAAAGAGGCCTTGTTTGTGCACGCTTTGCTTTGAGTGAAGTTCCTTTAAGGACAAAGAAAAGCACACTTTTCTTCCTTTGAGCATATCTGCCTTTGCTTAAAATCTGCTAATTCTAAAACATACGCTCCTTCACCAATCCCAGAGTCTCGTCTTGGAAATGAGCTGGTTCCAAGTCTTTACTGTGAATAAAGCACCCACGCATTTTGTATAAAGTTCTTAATTAAACCTGTACAGCTTCTTTACCTGATTTCAGAAAAGGAGAGAAGAAATGGGGGGTGGGGTGTAAGTGTGATTCAAAATCTATTCCAAGCGCAAAAGAATTTTTCAATTTTTTGTATAAATATGACATTAGCTGATTTTGTTGGGCTGGGTGTGGGGTGTGTGGAAACTGTCTCTTGTCATCAAGTGATTTGTTTAAAGAGCCTTTAATGGGATTCAGGTGAAGGAACCCCCATCTGTGGTGGAGAGCTGAATGTTCCCTTCAGTAGCCCTTCGCACAGTCATAACAATAGGGATAATGCCAGATTATTTGTTAAGCCAAGGTTGTCTGCCTCATTGCCGTCATGCTGTTTGCAATATTCTTGCTTTCAATCAGTTTAACTTTAGGGTTTCCACTACTAAATGCATGCTCCCTATTCTGCTTTAGTTTCTAGCTTTGTATTGTCTTTTTCAAAGTATGTAGTTTGCTCTTTTGTACAACAAAATTTCATTATTTTACTGAACAAAACATACTGTAAGAATGATCTTTGATCTTATTTCCCTTTTTTATGTATTTGTAAAGATTTTTGGCATATGAATGTAATAATATTGAAGTCAGTGACACTAATAACTTGCACTGTTTTGCATTATGTCAACCCTTTATAGGGAGTAAAAAAGCCCTACTGTGCTTTGAAAGAATATCAAGTATAAGCCCAGTTCTGGAGTCGATATACACACTGCATGTTTTCATATATGGCATTTTTATGTTTTGTGTTTGATTATTGTTCTAGATTGGACTGTTAAATACTATGTTTGAGGCTGGGTTGTCATTTTTATAACTGTCTTGGTGTTTTATCGCCATTATTTATTACTTTTGATATACAGAATGAGCTGCATGCATTTATAGAGCAGTAAGAGGATGTATTTAATGTGCCTTGTTTTTAACTGAATAAGAACTGAAAGCATGAATCAATAAAGCTGATTAAAATGGTCCATTTACTGGCATGTTGATGTACCTTGCAGTCAGAGAAATAACTTTGATGACTTGTAGTTTAAAAAAAACTTTGGAAATATTTTCACAAACTGTATTTTTAATTGCATTCACACATTAATATTTTCTGCTTGCAATTTTGTAATTTTATCTCAAAAGTGAATCCCTGCATAGACTGATGTAATTTTATGAGACTGCCAGATTTATTTGTATTAATTTGTTGCTGGAGCCTTTAGGGCACGACTTCTGTATTTGTGCAATCCTATTCTAAAATTACATGCATCCTATTACAACTCTGTTGAATTCTTTTTTTCCTTTTTTTTTTTCCTTTTGTCAACCAGAGCCTTTTAGCCTGAGCATTCCCAGGCACACTGATGAATTTTATCATAACCAAAATCAATAGAAATGAATGGGAAAGATTACATAATCCATTTTGATCATCTTACATGTCAAGTTAGTGTAGGGTTGCCAAGTGTTGATAAATGCTCTGACAGAAAAAATGCTATATATTTTCATTGTCAGTAAATCAGTAAAGCTGTTATCAGTTTTAACACAAATTTTATAATGCCTATGTTATTTTATAGGTTTTAATTTACACATGTATATGGAGCATTGTCTCCATTTGTGGTTTTGAAGCACTGCCTCTTGGTTTTGCGTGCTCAAAGGCCTGTGTGTGCTTCTGAGGTTCTTTGAAATCATGTAGAATAACACAGAGCACTAGTCCCCAGACGGACTTGGAACAATGAACTGTTTGTTCAAGGCCTGGAAAAAATATCTAACAGCTCAAAACACTGTTTATTGATTTAGCTCATCACAGTTCATAGCAGTTTAAAATTTGTCAACGTAAAATTTGTCAAAATGCATTGCTCCTGGTTTTCAAAATGTGTAAAATTTTGGGTAATCCGAGGAAGAGAAATAGATACATCAGTACTTTGCAATCTTGGTCAATACCACATTATCACTCATGGCAGACTTCACCTGACACTTGACTTAGGAAGGAAGCAGACAACAGAAATTTTCAATTGTTATGGCACCCTTACAACTAGAGAAGTTCTGTATCAAGGGTTGGAGTCAATGGGCCTTCTGTGCCTGTACCTTGTATTTTAGGCCTCTAATTAGCTACCCTGCGTGTGAAACACATGCACAGAAGAGATACACCAGCCACAATAAAACCAAAGATGGTTCTGCAGGTCCTGTGGACCCTTGGCAAAAATCAGTAAATACCTTTGCATGTTGTTAGATACTTGATTCAGAACAGTAAGGTTTATTTGACCTAAACAGAATACCACTTTTGCAAAATGATTGAGGCTATCTTCATCCTCCGCCTGCGGCATCAAATTGCATTGCTTAACAAACCCTCCCATCCGTTCCCTGTCATTCCAGGTATTCACACGGGGGTTGCTTGAATCCATGTAGATTTAGGTGTGTATCCTGTAGTCACAGATAACAGTTCATGTTTCAGCGGAAGAGACGGGAGGATTGAGCCTCACTTGGATAGCAGAACGTGGCACGTGGTGCAGCCGGTTCCACCCACTCTGAGTCTGTCGAGCCCCCTGTGTTGGTTCCTCAGCAGGACTTCTCTCATCCTCAGGAGCTCCTGCAGAGCCAGGCTCCACTCCTTCAGTGGCTGCTTGCTGGAATTCCTACAGTGTGGCGTTTCAAGGGGTTGGGAGCTGTAGAAGTTGTTTTGTTTTGTTCTTTTGGCCCTGGTGCCTATTGAAAAAACAGGTAAAGGAGAATCTTGAATTGGAGGCTGCTTTTTCATGCTCATAGGATTTCTTTATCCAACCTCATACTATAAAACTGGCTCTAACTTTTATTGTGTGTGAGTGAGATTTCTTTAAAAAATCCAACTTAGGCATATATGGTTTTGCTTTAAAAGCTACCTTCCTCTGTCTAAGCGATGTCAATGTAATGAGCTCGATCAACAGATCACTTTCCTTTAACCTGACCTTAATGCCCTCTTTAAAGCATCCAGTTTTCTCTCCTTTCCCTCCTTTTTTCAAAGGTCTTAGAGTAAATAGCTGCTGCTTCTCCCTTTTAATTCGTTGCTTGTTAGGTTCTTCTCTTCTTTGCTTAAAATCAATTTTTTTTTTGTTTTTCATCCCATCATTAATTGATTTACAATTCATTTTTATGCATACAGAGTTTCTCCTATCCAAGTTAAGAAGCTGTAAATCTTAGATCCATTGAAATGACAGTGAGAAATATTTCATTTTACCCCATGAATCATTTGCCATCCTTATTGCAGAAAAATGGCTAAATTATGGTGCACCATGTTTTCATAAATTACCTTGCCCACCCCCCACCCCCCCATCCCCTGCCCCAGCTCCAGCCCCAGTTCATTTCATTATTTGTTTGGAAAGACTGTGAGAGTCAGAATCTAGACACTTGTGGTAAACAATTCTGATTTTATAGCAGGCTAATCAAAATTTCATAACATCACAAATTAATTCCTCTGGTCCCATGAAGAATTTAATTCATGTACAAAATATATCATCTATTTTATAACTCAAAAATAGCTTGATATTAAAGTTCATTCTGTGATTTGCTAGTATAACAAAGGGGGAAGAGTGCCGAATTCTTTAAATAATGTATATAATTTTTATTGGGTTTCATATGTCAAAGTAGTCATTTATGTCCTGAAAGGTGTGTGCTTTGCACTATGTGCTTGAACACTATTAAAAAATCATGGCTTCTTCCAAAAAGAACAGATCATAGGTTTGCATTTCACATATGACCTGAAATGAAATATCTTATACAGAGAATCCCTCCCCCTACCCTTGGGAATATTTTCAAAAGTAACAAAAGATTTCTAAAGATACATATTTGTTAAAATGCAGTGACTGAAAGCAGTTCCTATAATGTTTTAACATTGCTATATGAACAGATTTGTCTGTGGCCCTTAATCTTTCTTTTATTTTCAGATCTTTTAAGGAACTCTGGTCAGTTATTTATACAATTGAAAAAGTCAAGTTTATCCTGATAAATATATTCATCCTAGGGAACTGCTAAACTGTTCTCAAAATGGTCCATTTTTTAAATGGAGCTTATCCAGCTTGATCCATGCTTTAAACAGCACTGAACCATTAAATAAAAACCTGGGACAAAATGCCTTTGAAAAGGGTTAATTAGCTTTAATATTGATTTATTCCGTATAGGACGCTAATAGACTAGAACATTTATTTCTGTTTTGGATCATTAAAAACTGACTTTCGTTCTTGAACAATTTGTTTCTAATAAATAAAAATTAGACCAATTAGAGTAGTTTGAGTATAACCTACAACACATGATGCACTTTTAAAGAAAACAAAAACTCTGGGTCACTTATTTCACAATACATTGCCATTCCATCAGACATACTGTCCACAAAATACTCAGGAGATCATTAAACTCAGGACAGAAGTATTTCTACTTTAACCCTAAAAACAGAGAAGGGATTAACGTAGGACAGAAGACTCCCTAGAGCTAAACTGGCACACACTGATCCTGGTGTCACTTAATACTAGAATGGTGTCACTTAATACTAGAATGCGTTCCCATATGCTCCATTACTTAGGCTTCTCCATTCATTGGCTTTACCCTTGGAAAATACTGCTGCATCAAAAAAGTTTACTGCCCCCCCTTACCCCCACCAAGGTGCTTGCCTGTCTGCAGGGGATACCGCCTTCGCTGCGCTTAGTTCTTGTTCTAATGCTGCCCTCTAATGGATACCAAATTATTTCATTAGACCCAGAACAAAAGTAAAATTGCAGCTTCCTTGAGCTCCTCCTGCCCCAGTCCATCACGCTCTGCACCTGTGATCTGATCATTGTTTGTCCTATGCAAGGGCTGGCGTCGGAGACCTCCGTGTCCATTGCAAGGAGTCACCGTGGCCAAAGCTGCCTTTCTCTTCCTGGAGGCAGAGGAGCAGCCATGCTCGTTTGTGCTCTAGCAAACTTTCCTTTTTTCTCCGCCGGCAACTTGAAAGAATTGATGTTCAGTTTGGAAGGGGGAAGACTTAAAAATGAGGAATAAAAACAATGTAAGTGCTGTATTAAGATGATATGCTGTGTGTTTTATCGGCCACTGGCACCTAGTTCAAAAGACAAAAAAATTAGCAGCAGTGGTTTGGGAATAGGCCTGTGCATAGGGTGGATATCAAATCCATACGTGAAGAATATCAGCACTTTTCACATGCTGCTTCCTGACACCCATTGCTAGAGCTGAAAACTATCTCTATTGTCCAGTTTGATTGCTTGAATCAAACTGATTTACAGCAAATCCATCTGAGCTTTGATAAATCTATTACAGTTTCATTTCACTGATTTCATTAACGTGAATAAAACCAGCCATGCTTTCTGCATAACTGCCTTTTAATGGCTTGGCCCTGTCACCTGCCTGAATATTAATCCCCCTGACTTATTGCTCCACAGAGGGAATGAGTAATGGGTATTTGAATGTGATCAGCACAGTACAATGCAATTAAGGAAGCAGTACTGTTCTGTGCCTTTAATCCTGAACTAATTTGAATTGCAGTTTGATAGCACAGTGAATCCTGCATAATTATGTAGGGTGCATATTAAACTCTGTGACAAACTGGAGAAGCTTTTAACCATCACAGCTATGGTAGACAGGGGAAGGCCAGAGGCAGCGAGCCCACTGTTGGACTGAGGGCTCAATTAATAGAAAACCTTCCCCAGGAAGAGCTTGGAGAGCAACAGATCTTGGAACACAAAGGGTTGACTTGTTTCAAATCGATTTTATTTTACTGAGAGTTGGGCTTTCAGGGCTTCCTTTGAGTTTGTAAGATAGCAAGGGGAAAACTACTCCCTAATAAAACTTCATATTCTCCAAGTACATTCAGCAATTAGAGAACAGCAGCGTGATAATTCTCAGCTTCTTCACATCTTAGGTATTTGGTTATTTGGTTCTCTACTGTTCTACAAAGAGTACAGTCAAATCAAGACTAAAACTCAGAATTGAACTGGGGAAAAAATGCATACATGCACACACATGCACATGTAAAACTGTTTAGAATGTCCTCACAGAAAATAGCCTCTGTCTCCTAAAGTTTGAAAATCATTTTATCAGAAGTCAGGCTTCCCTGAAATGTACTTATTATATGATGGTCAGATATTTATTGTGCTATATGGATGTTTTTACTCAATATGAGTGCTAGAGAAGTTTTAAAAACCATTAAAACATGCCTAACACAAATATTCTGTATACTTTGGATCTTTTGTGGATGAATATATTGGCAATTGATTTGCCTGATGACTTGAGTTTGTTTTTAATCCAAAGTATATCAACTCAT